TTGCAACCTTAAAATGTAGAAATATTGATGCACCTGAAAAATCCATCGGAGAAGGCTGTTTTCACGTTGAAAAACCCTTTAGTTGATTATCTCGATTACAAAAAAAAAGATTGAGTCCGGAAATAATGCATCTTACAGCACATTATCTAGACCGTTCATTTTCAAGATTTTCATATGTTTATAGATATACTTGATTTTAACCATCTTTAGGGTTTAAAATTTTATAATTAGATATGAAAATAGATTTTCAGATAATCCTTATAATTTTTTACACCAAAATTATATGTTATGATAAAATTTGGAGGTGCACCTTAATTAGATTGTTTAAGGTTGTAACATTTTAGAAACCACACCCTATATGTGTATGTGTGTGTGTGAATATTTTGATATGATTGTAAGTCAAGCCTCACCTCGAAACTAACCAAAAATTATATTTTTGGGGTATATATATATATATATATATATACCTATAGGTGAAAATGAACAATGTTTTCACCCATAGACTCGGTGCTGTCCGATTATTTCAAACAGTATGGATAAATTGATCGCAACACACATAATATGTCCAATGCAGTCTATTTTTCACACAAAATCGTAGAGCCATTCCGACTTTTAAGACAAAACCAACGAAATCGTAGAGCCATTGCAACTTTTAAGACAAAACCACTATGGCTTTACGAGAGCCAATGTGGGTAAAATCACTATGCATTTTTTCCGTACGGCAATTTTAAGAGTTTTCCTATGTATAGGGATAGACAAATTTAGTCCATCTAGACCCTTCTTAAAGCTTGTTGTTATCGTTTGACCAACTTGAGATAAACAAGGGCTGCTCTCGCAATATGTACTACTCTTTCAAGTCTTTCATGAATTTCTGCTAGCTGCATGTCCCTTTTAGTAATTAAAGGGCTAGAAAAATGGGAGTGTCGTGCTCAAGTCTCATGATACGAACTAAAACCATATATCCAAATCCCAATATAAAATGCAGTTCCCTTATCAAAATCTTTTATTGCATCTTAAAAAATCTATTTTTAATGTTTTAAAATTATTATAAGTTAAGTAGATTTATCAATACTCGAAATTAAAATTGTTTAAGTAATATATTAAATAAATGTATTATTTTAGGAAAATATACAGTGAGACTATTTATCTTTAGTACAAGGTGGTCACAATTAATGCTGATCATTGGATGTGAAATTAGATGGTTGTATTTATTCTATCTACCAAGTTCAAACATCAAAAGAATTTTTCTCAAACATTGTGAGACACCCAAGCTCTCAGATTTCATATCGGATGGTTGTAAGTAATTGTGACTTCCTTGTATCAAAAGTAAATGGTCTTATTGTGTACAATCCCATTATTTTATTAAATACCTTATAAGAACCTTAAGTTGTTAATATTAAGAACCTTTAACAACTTAATATTAAGAACATTTATTGAAATGTATTCATGGTGCTAACTAGTTAACATTCCATTTATTATTTATTTCCCAAAATATTTATCAAAATACGATAAATAATAACAAAAAAGGTGAAATATTAAATGATGTAGTTTCTATAAGGCCAGGGGCAAAATAAAGTCTCACTTCTAATCTTTGTCAGACAAGCACTTTGGGCATAAAAAATCTCTGTGATGATTTTAAAATCAATTTCCATTATGATTATGAATTTTGAAGCTAAAAAAATAGTATAAATCTTGCAGATTTGCGAACCTTTTTTTTAAGACGAAATGGACGATCTGGATAACATGTTACGATATATACTATGTTTAAAGCTTAAATCCTATTTTTTTTTACAACTATAATGGTTAAGGCCAAGATGATTGGTTCGAAGGTTTTTCATTGCCAAAATTGCAATTTTTGGTGAATCATGAGGTGAGGCTTTAGTTAGTTTGATAGGGTTGCAGCCCTACCAAAACATTTTCTAATATTAAACACTTCGTAATATCAATTCTAGTTTGGTAAATCTCCCTGTTGACATAACGGTAAGAGAGGAAAAAAAAAAAAGGAAAAAGAGGAAAAATGGTTTGATAGGGCTGCAGCTCAATCACATAAGTAAAACCTCATTTCGTAACTCATCGAAAATTGTAATTCAAGCATTAAAAGACCTTTACATGGATCATCTTGGCTTTAACATTATGGTAGTTATTATAACAAATTATCTAAACCGTTCATTTCACCTTAAAAATAAATGTTCATAAATCCATAAGATCTGTGCTATTTTTTAAGTTTTGAATTGAACTGCCACTGTTAGAAATTGATATTTGAGCGATAATGAGATTTATCTTGCCAATGTTAGAAATTAATATTTGTGCGATAATGAAATTTATGTCGTTAAAAATGCTTTTTAGAGGATTTGAGGTGAGGATTTATTTTGTTTTCCAGAAGAATACGGTTTGCACGTATATGATGAGATCGTATGGGCGTGCGGTACAAAGAGAGAATACGGTGAGAAACAAAGGGGGAAAAAGATCTGAAAAGAATGAGTAGTCAAACGTCATGTCGTGCCTTTCAAATCATAAGACTGGTCAGTGATGCGTCAATCAAACTACTGAAAGGAGGTCAAATTTTAGAGAGAGAAACAAAAAAAAGTTGTGTAAGAAAGAGAAACACAGAGAGATGAGGCAGAGGAGAGAGAAACACAGAGATAAGGCAGAGGAGAGAGAAACCAAGAGTTAACGAGAGAGATAGGGAGGTCAGGTTTTAGAGGGAGAAACACATGTTGAGATTAGGGAGAGGAGAGATGAACAAAGAGTTAGAGAGAGAAAGCGACGTTATTAGATACTGGAGAGGAGAGAGAAACAAAGAGTTGGAAAGAGAAAGGGAGGTCATGATATAAGGGAGAGGAGAGAGAAACAAAGAGTTAGAGAGTGACAGGAGGAGAGAGAAAGAAAGCGCGCCACGTCAAGAGGTCAGGCACACGCTCGCAACTCTCACTTCCGCACTCTTCCCCATGCACCCTCGTAAGCCAGCCGACACATGCGCACGTGTAAAGACCAGAGACTGTGGAAAATCCATCCTTACCATCGGTAAATTTCTAAAATATCGGTTTCATCCGTCGTCTGGTGGGTTCATGGAACATGGTGTGGACCCGCAGTTTGGTTGGTTGACGATTCGATCCCGTGAAAGCGCCTAGATATTATTTCCCAAAGATGAGGGTAATTTCATCATGAATAATAATCTTATCGTTGTGGTTTTTATAAGGTTCCAACTTTAAACAATCCAATTAAAGCGCACCTCCAAATTTTATTAATAATTTTGGTGTAAAATATTTTTAAAATTATTTTAAAATCTATTTTTATAGTTAATTATAAAATTTTAAACTTCAAAAATAATTAAAATCAAGTAGATTTATAAATATATGAAAATCTAGAAAATAGAGTCTAGATAAGGTGTTGCAAGATGTACTATTTCTGGGACTGAAAATATTTTTTTGTTTTTCATATTCATGTCAGTGTCTAGATGATCAATTAGAGGGCTTTTTAACATTAAAACAACCTTTTCAGATAGATTTTTTAGGTGCATATGTAATTCGTTGCAACCTTATATAAACTTTTTATTATATATATGGGAATGATTACATGCAAGGGTTCTATAATTTTATAATACAACTACACATCTAGAATATCATGTTTTTGGTATTCATATGATCCCAAATTTTGCTTACACATTCTTTTCATCCTATAATGGGAAAAAAGAAATTCAATTTATACCCTAGATATGGTCAAAATTAATACCCTCCAACAATGAATCTCGACCGTCCATTTGATGAATTTCAAGATCTAGGCCTTAACAAATTCAAAACCATTTTTTTCTTTTTTAAACAAATTTCTCTAACATGGTTTTTGAAGATACTTGCATTATACTACTATGCAACTGATTGCATGAAATCATTCCCATATATACATGGAAAAAGTTTATACAACGTTGCAGCCTTAAAATGTAGAATTAAAGTTGCACATCAAAAATCCATCAGAAGATATTTGTTTTAATGTTGAAAAACTACTTAATTGATCAGCTCGACTCTAGATGTATGAATATGAAAAAAAAAGATATTTTGTGTCTTATAAATAGTGCATCTTACAGCAAATTATCTAAACAATCCATTATCAAGATTTTAATATGCTTATAGGTCTCCTTGATTTTAATCATTTCTTTAATTTAAAATTTTATAAATACTGATAAGAATAAATTTTTAAATAATTTTTGAAAACTTTTTATACGAAAATTACTATCTTATAATAAAATTTAGAGGTGCGCCGATATATATATATTTGGTTATTTTAATTGGGAGCCGCCCACTAGAGCCACCCAAATCGCTTGAGTTCCAGTAAAACTGTCTCTCACTACACATCACTCTCAGCATTTTCTCTCTCTAGGCAGCACATCATCGGAAGGAGCCATGTGGTGAAGGTCCCCAAAGAAGCAATACGCCCATAAATTGTAGAGAGAGAAAGACAGACAGTCTCATCTTCTATTTAAGAGAGAGAGAGAGAGTCTCGTCTCTTCTTTCTGCTATGAAACACCCAATAAGTATTGTAGAGTGAGAAAGGAATGGCACCATGTTTCCTCTTTGTGGGTAAGTGATCCGACCATTTTCTCCTGAATTCTCAGAAGCTTTGGAGAGCGAGAAACCCTTTTCGCCTTCTGCAGTCGTGGAGAGAGATCTTGCTTTCTCGAATTATCAGTGATAGTTAGAGAGAGAAAGTCTTATTCTCATTGACACTATCTTCGTGATCGAAATTATGGAATCTTTCTCTTGAATTATCATTGACAGAGGGAGAGAAGTTTCAAAAGAAATAGAAAAATAATCAGTGACTGAAAGAGAGAGAGACCCTTTCTCAGACTCCCTTTACTCATGAATTATCGTAGAGAGAATATGAATCTTTGGTTTCAGAAAGAGAAACATGTTTGATCGAAGTATTTTCTCTTGAATTATCGTTTAGAGAGAGAGAGGAAGAAGAAGAAGAAGAAAATCCCTGGTGTTTCCATTACTCCTAGAGAGAGAGAGAGAGGGGTTAGATGCCATGAGCTTGGAAGACTCCATGAAGGTCCTCTCCCTGGACTACTTGAACCTCCTCATCAATGGCCAGGCCTTCAGCGATGTTACATTCTCGGTCGAGGGCCGCCACATCCACGCCCACAAGTGCATCCTTGCCGCCCGCTCCTCCTTCTTCCGCCGCTTCTTCTGCGATCAGAATCAAAATCAAAACACAGCTCAAAATCCAAATCAAGCCCTTTCCCCCATAACAACCTCTAGCCCCCCTCACCATTCTTCTGTCGTCCAAGTCACTGTGGTTGGCTACGAGGTCTTCCTCTTGTTGCTCCAGTTCCTATACAGCGGGCAGGTGTCGATCACGCCCCAGAAGCACGAGGCGCGGCCCAACTGCCCGGAGCGGTCGTGTTGGCACACGCACTGCTCCTCCGCCATAGACCTCGCCCTAGACACCCTCGCCGCAGCCCATTTCTTTGGTGTTGATCAGCTGTCCCTCCTCACCCAGGCCCACCTCGCCTCCATTGTCGACAAGGCATCCATAGAGGACGTCATGCGCGTCCTCCTCGCCTGCTCCCACAACAAGCCTCTCATGCATCCCCTCTGGTCGACATGCTCCCGTCTCGTCGCCCAATCCGGCCTCCCTCTTGATGTCCTTGCCAAGCATTTGCCTCCCGACTTGGCCCAGCACATCCTCGACATGAGGCTCGAATCCAATTCTGCCAATGCCCGAGCGCATGTGGTTGAGGACCATAAGGTTAGGCGGATGCAGCGTGCACTCGATTCCTCAGACGTCGAGCTTGTCAAGCTCATGGTCATGGGCGAAGGCCTCAACCTTGACGACGCCCTCGCGCTACATTATGCAGTGGCTCGATGCTCTCGAGAGGTTGTGAAGGCGCTTCTTGAGCTCGGGGCAGCCGATGTCAACCATGCTGCAGGCCCGGCAGGGAGGACACCATTACACATTGCAGCGGAGATGGTGAGCCCCGACATGGTGGCCGTGCTCCTCGATCACCACGCCGACCCCAACGCGCGATCAGCATCAGGTGCAACCCCATTTGACGTGCTCCAGTCTTTGGCCTCCGATTTCCTCTTCAAGGGGCCAAACGTGAGTTCACCGACAGCGCCAGCTCCCCACATCGAACACAATAAGCTGAGGCTGTGCCTGGAGCTGCTGCAGTCAGCGGCGCTTGTGATCTCAAGGGGCTGCGATGGGGCCGAGGGTTGCAGCCCAACCCCACCGCAGGACATTGATTCGAGAATGTTGTTTTTGAATATTGGTGGCAAGGACAGGGATGGCGGAGGGGGCTCAGATGGGTCAGGGTATTGTGGGAGGAGCATCGGGCAGGGATCGACCCGCGAGTTTTAGGCGAGGAAGAACCCCTTTGAGAAGACCCCTTTCATTTACTCGGTTCCTCTTTTCTGTGAGATTGATTGGAGCTTATTTGGGGCTCAATTGTACAAGTCTCTCTCACTGAGTGTGTTTTGGGGACGGAATATTTTGGAGAAATTTTGTTCTGGTCTCTCTGTCTAATATTTTTGTGAAATTTTGTTTGGGTCTTCCTCTCTCTCTCTCTGATTGTTTTCCCTTGTGGTGGTGGTGGAGATACTTGCTGAAATTTTGTGGTGTTTCTCTATATACTCTTGTTGGGTTGCTAATGGTATAAGACATTGATGAAATTTGATCTGGTTTCCTCACTCTTCTTCATCTGTTGGTACATAGAGTGATTAAAACACTTTAATTGTATTAATGTGAAATTTTAACCACTTCTATCCTATCCTATTAATGTGAAATTTAATATGGGATTTCTCTCCCTTGGTGGAAGAGAAATTCCTGAGCTGATGCTTCATTTGGGTTCTCTCATTTTGCTTCTGATGAATGGTGGTGGAGGAATGTGTTATACGCTTTATGGCCAGTATCGTTGCTTATTAGGGTTTCTCTCTCTACATCTAGTTTCTCTCTCTTCTAGTTCTTGTTCTGAGGAGTGGATAATGTGCAGGTGAATTTGAGCGGTTGGATGGCAAAAGAAGACGCGTGAATCAGGTCAAGCTCAGAGTTAGGGAGAGGGAAATGAGTAATGGAGGATCACAGGTCAATCTTTCACCTCACCTCACCTCACCTCACCTCACGTTTTTCCTCTTTTTCTTCATCAATGATCATACCACCATTCATTTTGCTCTTTGTCCTTTGGCATTGCTCAATTATGGGGAAACAGTGGATTTGAACTTCGAATTTTTGTATCTTTTTCTCTTTCCCCACCCTCTCTCTGCCCCTAGAGAGAGAAAAGATCTTTAGGGGGTAGGGGTATGGCAATTCCTAGAAGCTTTTTCTCCCTAGGGTTAATTCATTTATTGTTGTGTTGCTTCTATTAAAGAAAAACTCATAATAGGTTTCTACGCTCTCTGCACCACCCTCTGTTATCATCCAGATTCTTCTTTGATTTTACGTTTTTAACACCCTTTCGACGTTCATTTACTGAGGAGCATCTGACTGCTATTCTTCTGATAAAATCCCATGTTTCTCACTCTTCTTCTGTGATTCCTCATGTTAAAACTAGATCCATATGATCTTGACATTTATTGTTTTACTATCTTATTTTAACCCCATTTGCCCATGGTTCTACTTTTTATTTGACTTCTCTCTCTCTCTAAACTGTTAATTTTCCATAGACCCTTCAACCTCTCTGTAGCATTAATGGGACAGGATAGAAGTCTTGCAAATGCATACATGAAAACAAACAATCGTCGAAAGGAAGCCTTTATATCCTCCCTGGAATTCCATTCTCTCAGCCTCGACATTTAAGAGAGAGAGAAGCCACGGCTAAGAACATGGCTCCTTACGGTTTATTTTTGGATTCACATATTAAATTTAAGATTGTATGCTTTCCTGTGAATTATTGTGCATGAAGTAGTTCTACAATTTTAATTCATTCCTCTTTGTTTTAAGGCGCTTTCTTCTCAATCTCCTAAAACTATCTCGTCTTATCATATAGTGTCTAATCTTCTCTTGTTTATGATGAACATGCTCGAATTTGTTTATTAGGGATTGCAATCCAACATTAATGCATTTAGTCATGTGGTTGATTTTTATTTATTTATTTAGATCAAGTTAAAAAATGATGTGAATGACATGGTGAGAATGAAACTATAGACGGCAAATTGTGGCACCCGCCCCACTTACCAACTCTGCCTAGATCCCGTCCTCCAGTTGGATCATACTTTTCATTGACGTCATTTTGAGTGACCGATGCATCTATGAAGATCCAAGAAATTAGATGTATACCATTTAATGTTATTTGTATCGTATTTATCATTTATCTAAAGGTTTCGAAATGAAAGACCTTAGGTACACAAGCACCACCCATTTATTTTTGCTTACATTTAGTGAGGAACAATATTTGGAACCCATTAGCTCACGAAAACCATGCTAGGAACCTAACATAGTGTGTTTCAACCGTACATGGACGCCCTCTTAGTTGCTGTTATTTGTTCTTGTACGTGTACAAATAATCCTAATTGAATAACTGTTATATATCATGTTCTTTTTTTTTAATTTGGTTATCTATCACATTATTACATGGAGTAGAAATATGTGGTGCTAAGAGATTTTATATATGAGCTCCCATTGCCCCTTTCCTCTGATGCTAGTATTAATTTAATTTAGTAGTTTGATGCTATGTAAACCACTAGTTTTACATAGTGTGATTTTAACTTTTTTTTAAAAAAATATTAACTTTAATGCGATTCGAAATTTCCTTCTCGAACATTAGTCTCTAGGTTTAAGAGGTAAAAGTACTCCTTGATTGGGTTTCACCAGAGGGAGTAAATGGCAATATATTCCCATGGGAGCATAGAATCTTTTAACAAAATGTATAGACCTATGTGAATTTTATAACTCTTGTTTTGGTGTTATCTTGAATTTTTTATCCCTCATTCTCGATAGATATATGTTTCCTAACTTTATGTGAGTCATTCATCATGTTGACATCATACACTGAAAATATTTCCTTTGATTTGCATGGGATATATATTTTTTGTATTCAATCTTTTCTTCTTCTATGTTTTCCAAGTTCTCTTGTCACATCATGCTGTAACTTTCCGGATTGATCAATGCTTGGATTTGTTTTTAATTAAAACCTGTCAATATATTAACATAAAAAATGATATTCTTTTGTTCACCTCTAAAAATTCAGTCATCAAAAGGGGCCCTCATTTCCTATCATCCTTTAAAGTGTTACACAATTCCATTTGTGGAATCTTTCTTTGAATGAATGGTTTCTTTGAGGTGAAGCGCATAAATAGTCATAAATCTATTCACGTCTATTCACATATGCGGTGCACTCATTATATGTGCTTTGGACCAACATAAAGCTCCATGAACTCCTTTGTTGCTTGAATTTTTTAGACTTTCTAAAGCTGTTCTTAATTTGAGAAAAAGCGGTCAGTGGTTATGATATATTTCACATTATATGCAGAGGGCAGAGAAAAATGTGGCTTTTAGATAGCATAATATTTGTTTGATTGACCATTTGATTTATGTTCATTCTACTTTTACTAAACTGAATTCGACAGGGAACTGTTAAGGTCCTAAAGCAATTAATTATTTAATTATATAGATCCTCATAAGGTCGCTTGTGACACTGGCATTACTGGATAAGTTCCATTTGCTTGTCTCTCTCATGGCAAACCCATAGCTAATACTTTTGCCCCAAGATTAGCTCTAGTTGCAATATGTCTAATTGATGACTCTTCATATATGAAATCATACCATGTACCTTCTGACTGTGTGTGATACTTCCCAATAGGTTCACAGTGTTATTCTAAAATTCGTATGGTTTTTTGTAATTTTGAGATCTGGATTGCCTTTCCTCTGCTCTTTCTCAGCCACTTGTCATCAGATATGTGCTTATTGTGTATTGATAGACATGCAACAAACAGTTACATGATATATGTTCATGAATGTATATACACACACACATACAGAAATGTGCACACATGCAAAAAAACATAGAGACATCTAGGGATGGACTCAGGGCATAGGTGTTCAGGGTGGTGGATGCTACAACGTGCCATCTTCAGTTCCATTTCTACTATGGGTAGGGGACCCCTTCCCTTTTATCTACCCTAAAAAAAAAAGACAGAGACAGCCATGTGTGAACTCACATTTACATGCCTGTGTGTATACCTAGATTTGGGGCACCGGGTGGATTGGTTGTAGTTGATACTTGCAACAATACATCTCAAGTTCATGTCGCATCAACGGCCTACCAAAACCCAGCCATCTCCCAAAATTTATGCATACACGCAAAATTGCATAACCGTAGAGGTATCTTTTTGCATGATACAAAGATATGCATGCATATGCACTATAGCTTGAGGAAGAATCTTTATTCTAATCTGAACTTTACATCTCTACTTTAGAAAGATGTGCAGAGGTAGAATATGATATATGTTAAGAGTTTTAAAATAATGAATACTCATGTTAATTATGGACCACCTTTAGTATTGATAGAATACCATCCTTGTTGCATATCTTGTGAGAGGGTCACATCCTTACCTCCTCTCATCCAGCATCCATTCATCACTTTTTGACTTATGCAACTATTGCTAACAGTGGGGCTCTTGTTGTGATTTGCTTTTACCACATCATTTGTGGCCTCTCCATTTTCCAAGCCCACTATCTCCACTATTATTTCAACCATATATCCCTTTTCTCTTGGCTTTTTGTTTTCAACTCTAACTTCAACCCGCCTTCTTCCAAAACCCATCTACAAATGGCCTTAGAACAACTCTTGTAAAGGTTATACACCTTCTAATTTCCCTTCCATTTCCCCTTCATTCAGTCTGGGGTAGAAGTTGCAAAAAGCTACTGTTCGGCGTTTGTGCGTTTTATTCATGTATATTAGTGTGCGTGTATATGTGCACGAATGTGTCTACTCACGTTCCATAGCTTGTATACACGGGGAACCCACCCTTTCATCCACTGGGGGATAGATATTTCCTAAAATTATGATTTTTCTTGATGACTTTCTGCTTTTTATGATTGCCATGCAAGAATTTGCCTCCATTCAATAATCATTTGATTATGAAGCATTAGTATGTTGTAATTAGTATATGCCATTGAAAATGTAAAAAAAATTCTAGTATTATCTATCTCCAGAGAGTTTACTATGGCTTTTCATTAAAAATACTGTTGCATCACATAGAAAAATTTAGTTGATCAAGCTTGATGGTGCAACAAGCATTAATACAATTATGTTTGTGATAAAATGCGGTTCCATCATGTAAATTGATTGTTTGTGCAATCGCTTGATCTGAATGTCCATACCAATTGTCCACAACTCCCCAGTGATATGAATATGGAGCTCATCATGTCAATGACATGGTTTCGGGTTCCTATTTCACATGCTATCATCCTTTTTCCCTCAGTTCTCGATGTCATAATATGCCTTTTTTTGTATTTGTTTTTCCTTTCTTCGAAGGTTTGATTGTCTTTTCACTTTTATATGGCCATGTAGTTCATGCATGGTTGCATGTGAAGTTATTTGCTTGAGCCGATGCACTAGAACCAATCTTCATGAAATAGGGTTGAAAAATGTTGTACATTATTAAGAACTATCATCAATGAATCTTAGATGTTTGTTTTATCGTACTCAAATTTACTCGAATTTATGTATGATCCATA